TAATACGGTGACTTAATAGACTTAAAGAGGAATTTTTCATTTCTCATGCATGAAATTGTGTGAGAACGAATCTTCTTTATGAATGTTGCTGCTAATTTTATGATGATTGAAAAAGTTTTAGCTGACATAAATGTTAAGTTTGATTGCTTTAAGGATATTTAATAGTGGAGATGGAACAAAGTTTCAATTTTGTGTGTGAATTATTGCTTCTGATATTTTAATTTATGAGAAGTTCAATTTTAAAGGTTATTTGAACTAATTTCATGTTTAATTCTATAATTCGAGTTGATTTCTAGGAATCGAACACAGAATCATAGGTTTGAGAAGGTTTTATTGTTACCACTGAACCATTGCTGCTATCTGAGTGCTAGAATTAGTCTAATTATAAATGGTTTACATTCAAAAGAATTAAACACAGCCGTAACGACTTAAAAGGATTACAGTGCATATCTGAAACTCGCAAGATTTTCAAAATAATTGATTAGAGTTGGATTAAATTCTATTTGCTTTCTAAACTATGCAAAATAGCCAAAGCTTTAGAAACCATGCTCCAAACTCCACGTGACTCTCAAATGAAGCTTTGTTCTATTCAGACTTAGATTTCAAAATTTTAACCATCGATTCTCGCAACTCCTTAATTGCTTGCCTTTAAAAAATTATTATTTTGAACTTTTCACTTTATTCCAGCTCATATTGTCTTCCACAATTTTCCTTAAAGTCAGTTTATCTCCAATTTTTGTTCATAATTTCCAATACAAACATGTTTATTGCTGCCAAAAAATATTTGCATAACGGTAGCTCGCCATAATTTTCATCCCTAAAAAAACAATTCAATTTGTACACACATTAGTATAAATTACAAAATGTCATAAATCAAATTAAAAAGCAATTACAAAACCATTCACCATTTTTCGTTAGTTTTTTTGCTATAAATTGTTCATCATAGATTACTAGCCTTTGGCTTTTATTTTATAATTTATTACAGTTTAATTATACAATTACAGTTATCATCAAAAAATTGTTTTTTCATCCATACAAATTTTTATTATTTTTTATTCGACATTCTTTTGTACACTTATTCGCAATGTCCATAAATAATTATAAATAATTTTTTTTAAATGTATTGTGGATGAGCAGCAAGACATGCTTAATTCATTGAGGCCATTGAGTAAAAAAAGAATGAAATTTATTATTTACAAAATCATCAATTCTTTCATTTCACAGTTAATTCCTGCTGATTTAAGTTTGATTAATATTTTTCCCTATGGCTGTAGCTATGGATGTAATCCTATGGATGTGAGCGTCCAATTTTTAATACATTCCTCTCGCAATTCATATCAATTTACAGTCAATTTGATATACTCACTCACATGTATGTGCAGTGTATATGAACGCTGAATATTATGTGAGAAAAAATTGGTTACAATTTTCATAAATTTTTCATATCACTGGAATGGAAATGTGCTGTTGAGAATGATGAGTGGGCAAATTAAACAGTGAAAATTTCATGAATTCGCAAGATTTTTTTATTTGTGACTCTTTTGAGTGATATTAATGTTGAGTTTTGAATGTATTTGGATGAATAACTTTACATGGAGCTTTAAATTGACTGGCTTTTGAGAAATTAGACTCATAAATGGATTATTTTTTGATATTATACAATGTGAAATTAGAGCACTAGTAGTATCCAACGGAAGTCCTACAAAGTCCTCTCAAACCGAAAGCTTCAGAGATTAGCTTGCTAAATTTGACTTTACTTCAATACAAATCTTAACCGATTTAACTCTCTGCTCGTGTTTATGTTTAAAAAATTCAAAAATTCTTATCCTTTGTAAAATTATTTAAAATTCGAGCAGATCCTGAAAGTAATTGATAAATAGGTCCAAGAATAACTATTTAGCCTCAAATAATTTTTTTTCTCACTAAAATCCCTGCTTAATTATTATCAGTAAACGCTAGAAATTTGTACAAATATGTTGCAAATCTCTCTAAAGATTCTACTTAATTCAAATCCACTGGAACCAACTTCAAGTTGACTTGATTTGAAGCCAACTTAAAGTTGAACTTCGAGTTTAACCAATTTGAAGTTATTTTGTCGTTGACTCTATTTGACATCCAGATAAGTCAACTTGAAATCGACTCAAATTTAAGATATGCTTCACAAAAATCTCTTCAAAAGTTTCATTTCCTTTTTGAAATCATTTAACAATTTTACTGAAAATTTACAGATATCATAATGAGGCACCGAAAAAATTAATGAATCGTTAATAATTTTTCGATATTTTTCTTCCATCAAGAGCATTTAATAATAATTAAATAACCATAAATTATCGATAGCTGATAAGAGCTCATTGAGAGTATACATGTGTATATTTATAAATATAAATTGCCTCTCAAAAATATCAACCCCTCTGAACACTTTTCATAAAGTTTGGTAAGCATTTTTGACTTGAACAAACGATTTATTGAGCTGTCAATAAGGTCATTTTCTGACATGAGTGGCTCGTCTGCGGTCCATTTTTAGGAAAAACTGCTTAATTGGAAATAATAATTGAGTTTTTTTGCCCTATTAAAATAATTAAAAATGATTAATGATTTTGCGTTAAATGAGCAGAAAAATTTACCGAATTCTGGTTTTCATGTGCAACTCTTTCGTGTCTTTTAGTCTCGATGATATTTTTTTTCTGTGATGAAAGGTTTTCGAGTTGATTTTATTTTTTTCTGCTTATTTACGTTAATAAGCAATAATGTAAATGAAAAATTTAATTAGTTCTGATCGAATTGATTGGCTTTAAATTTATTTACCGGATGGCAGTTTTTTTTATTAAATTTGTGCGTTCGTTGGGGTAGGAAAAAATAAGTTTGAAGGTTATACGATTGAAATCAGTGAGTTCGGAAAGTTTTAACCTAATTTGAAGATTTAATTACAGTTACAAGTTAGTAATAAAATCATATTAAATTTTGAAAATTTGCTTTTAATCTAGCTGATCTGCTCATTACTGCAATGTCGTGGGCATTAATTGAATCTTTATCAATCATATTAATAATAATCTAATTTTATTCAATTATTTAGAGATCAGCCTCTTTTGGGAATCGAACTAATATCCTCAAAAGAGTTATGATTGCAGATATCCAACCTGTTGCCTAGCTACTTAACCACAGAAACTTAACTTTTGCTTAATTTCATTTGACTCGTAATCCTTCTCATCCTCATAACGCCTACAACTTGAATTTTAAAAACTCATTTAAAATCAATTTAATTCCTCTCAATTAATTAATTTTCAGCAAAAAACAGCAAACTTCTTGATCTAAATCATGGATAACAGTCAAAATCTCAAAATATTTATTTTGAAAACATCAAAATTCAAACCCACGAGCTGAAGATTATTTACAAATTACGAAGAAGATGAAAATTAAGTCATTATTGTAGGCGTTCGTGGAATAATGTTTACATTAAACAAATTCAAAATTTGGTGTTTAATTTACATCTGAATGCTAAGTAGCTTATGTTGTAATTTAAGTGCAAATCTGAGGTAAAAAAATTTCTTGTTCTCAGAATCATCGCCCAAAAAAATTATTTAGAATTGAGATTTTTTTGCGTGTTTTTTTATGAGATTGAAAATTTATTTTTGGAATAAGTAATTTCATGGAAATTTAACTTATACATCGACGAAGAAGATTAAAATGAAGTTTATTTTTAATTTTTTCATGAAATTTGAGTTATAGTAGATGAGTCGAATCTGGTATCTTTCCACATTTAGGTGTATGAGTAAGAGTAAAAACACTGAGGCTTGCCAGTGGTTAAACCAGAGTTGTTCAAACTGTGTCCAAATTCCAAAAATTGGTAGTTTTTCAGAAATTTGAAGATTTTACACTAGATTCAATTTACTGAAGTGCAGAGTTAATAGGTGTGCCGTGAAAAAATATCAAATATGTCAAAGTTTGCCGTGGCTGAAAAAAGTTTGGACAACACTGAGTTAGACAATAGACTGGAAATCTTTTTACCATCTCTTTTGTAAGGACGCGAGTTCAAATCTTAGTAAAGGCCAATCTCTTAAGCATTAAATAAAGTGTTGTCGAAATTACGATTGTTCGATTGTTGGGAACATCCCACAATATAGTAACGACAAATCGAAGTCATATCAAGGATATCATTTAAGGCTCTCAATACTATTTAAAAATTGGTATGAAATTCCATTCTGAAAGATCTTGGTTGTTTATAAGTTTGGATTCTTACACTTTGGGGGTGGTTTCAGGTGTCTAATCTTCCCCTGGCTCTTTAAAAATTGCTTCAATTATTATTGGTTTTTGATGAAAATAAATAACCCAAATTCACACCCCCCCACGGTAAAAGAGATTCCAACCCTCACTCTTCACCTAACATGTACAACCTCAAACATCTTAGGTTTACATCGACTTGACACTTCAAATTTAATAACAATTTTGACATTCAATTTTGAGCATAAAAATGGTTGCCTGCATCTGTTGGCACCCTATACCACCCTATCCAAAAAACATTTTAACACAAAGCAAGATTGATTGAATGTTTAATGTTTTTGAGTCTTTTAAGAACCCTTAAGAACATGTCATGTTTTGAAACTTCAAATTCCACAAAGATTTCCATCCATACTAATTCGTCCCAAAAGCTCATCCATTGGAAAAATAACAAACATTTTTTTTTCATCCTCAAAAAAGTATCTGACAATTAACAGATTAAACTTTTCACAATTTATTTTTTACTTTTCACATTTGTCATCATTTTACTTTTTTCATGTCTTTTCTCAAATCCATAAAGAATACAAACTGAAATATTTTTTTAAGCTACAAGATAGAATGCATAAAAAAATTACTAATTTAAATCCTATTAACATTTTTATAGACATATTTTTTTGTGTGTGTGTGTGTTTTGTTTACAAACTCTTACAATAGCATTAACAACAAATTTTTTTTATGTATATACGCTTATATGTGGTCTCGGCTATTTACAATCTTTTTCATGTTGGATTATCTACAAAAAGAATTATATATTTTTTTAACATAGGATTTTTTTTTATTCTGTATTCACTAGGGCAATTACTGACTAAATGTAACAACTTTGTTGCGGATTTCTGCTTGGTTTTTATTATGTTTATATATATTTTTTAGCTACCGCAGCATAATTTTCAACATAACTGGCTTGGATGTTTAGTCATCATTATCTCTCACTCTCTTCCGTCACTGTCGTTGATGTGATTGTGTTGCCGTATGTTGAAGGAAGCGCGTCAGATATAGTCACTTTATTATTTTATATCTTAACGACCTCCTTTAAATAGTATAATCAGGAAATTCCGACACGTAATGAGTAGAATAATATCGTGCAAATTGTGCAAATGTAGAATGTAATCCAACATATTGTCAAGTATGAATGAACGAAATTTTTGGAATTTGATGATGATGGCAAATCGGCTGCAAGAGAGAGAAAAAAAAGATAAAGAAAAGAATGAAAGATGAGAAAACATGGCAGTAACATAACTATTATTAGCATTGTTTGGTGTCAACAAATTTTTATGTCTGAAAATGTTTATGTGTGTGTGTATGGCTGTGGATAATAATGATAATAACTGGTAAAATATGGACGTAGACATTGTTTTTGTGTGATTTTTATTTTTGGCAAGAGTGAGACTATTTTAAAATCTATTCTTATTGGATATGAAAGCTATTGTCTGTAATTTGTAGTTTCGTGATTCGTCTGTACATCTTTCTGCTTTAGCAACTATAAGGATAGTGGGATATCGTATATCAGTAGGATTGTAGTTATAGAGCTATAGAGAAGTTATCTGATAACAATATCTTAGGTTTGAACCGTTTTGACTCAGGACATCAATCTATATTAATATGATTGAAATTAAAAAGATTAAAGTCACTTATGAGTCACAATGCATCTTAAATTTTTTTTCTAGCATCTAAAGCATTACAGTTAAACCTTGGGTATAAAACCTTATTAAGGCAAAGCTCCAAGTTCTTGAAAATGACCTCTGTGTGCTATTTAACAGGTCACAGACTTTAAATCTGATTCACTTGTGAGGATGAAGGTTCGGTTCTTAACAAAAATTCAATAAAAAGATAAACTGTTATTTTAACTTTAACATACAAAGTAAGGCGCTAATTAAGCTTGATTAGGAACCATGATTATTGGCTATTATTGGCTGTTGACATTAGAATAGCAAAACAGCCATTTAAGACTCAAATTAAATTTTAAAGTAGTTTCCAATATTCTTCCTGATTACAATAAAGCCACAAAAAAAAAATTAACTTCAAAAATTTGTTCTACAAATATCAAACCTGCCTCAAAAACTCACATTTATTTCAACTCAACTCAAAACGTTTATCAACCAAGGCATGCGGAAGCATTTCGTTCATTTCTTAAGCTTATTTTTGTTGAAAAATGAAATTTTTGTTGTTTCCAATAAATCCTCTTCAGAAGATTTTCTTCTTTATTTTGTTTTTTCATGTTTCAATTCCACATTTTTTGTTTTTGCAAGAAATACAATTTTCGAGTCTTTATATTTAGCTTCTGATTGAAATAAAACTTTATTTATTGTGACAGATCTCATGGTGGAAATAAAACCTTGCAATTTTACAGGAAAAAAAAATTAAATTGGAATTTTTTTGTGTGAAGGCTTTTGAGTTTGGGAATTTGATGCTGAGGGGGTTCTGGGGAATTTTGTGTTGAAATTTAAGATTCTTTTGGAACTTAATTTGATATTTTGAGCCTGTGTGTTTGGTATTTTTGATTTTATATCGAAAATTCAAACCAATTTTGAATCTGAATCTGTAAATTTCATGTTTTCAAATGTCTGAAATTTTAACCTCAAATTATATTTATTGAAATCTGATGAAGGAATTCTTTGTTTTTGAAACAAGATATATTTATTAATATCCTCTAAAAATATCAAACCTATCATGAATTCCACCAACTATACATAACTGCATTCCAACAAATTCTCTCATCTAAATTTCCCGTGAACTAGAAATGGAATTTATTTCAACGGAATTCATCAACAGAAAAATCGTTTTGTTTGTTCCTCGCTTGCGTGATGATTATACAAGATTTATTCCAGGAAATTTACTTCACCCTTAATATTTAAACAAGAATTGTTCTGCACATCAAATTATGCCTCGTAATGAGATTCTTTTTTTTTATACATAATTCCCCTCGCTTGTCATGTGTTCTTAATTTGCATAAAGAAAATTATTAAAAATTGTTAAAAGAATAGGGAAATTCGGGGAAAATTTAATAACTGTGCAGCTGCTCCAGAAACAGACATTGATTATTTTATTGTTTTTTTTTTAAACAGAGAAGCAGTTATGAAATTTAATGGTTGATATGTGCAAATTTATGAGTTTAGTGATTTCAAGTTGGTTCCTTCTTGCTTTAAAAAGAGTTTACATTGACCTGAAGCAATCAATTCGTACTTAAGCTTAGCAAAGCGAGCAACCATAGCGTTCTTTGAGTTCCAAACACCTTTATAACGCCTTTGAGCATTATGATCCTAAATCGAAACTCTAAATGCCTTAAAAATCGATCTTAAGACTCAAATTGAGGTCCAATCTTTTTTGAGCCACGGTATACTTTGGTTTTAACCAAAACCAAAACCACTCCGTTCTGAATTTTTTTTCGCTGCATTCAAGCCAATGAATGACATGAAACATGAACTGATGATTTACTGCTCCGAGTCTTAAATAGTTTGTGAAACACTGTCTTAAACACCAACAATTCCAAAGAATTATCCAAAATCAATCCAAATTGACTTAGAACATCTGACATAAAAATCATGTGTCATCGATTTGACTTTTAAGGATTACAACAAATCTAATTAAATCCTTTCCCCTTAAACTAATCTCCGACTCATTCTCCATTTTCTTACTTAAACAATGCAGAAAAAAGGTTAACGTGTTTGCTTATATAAGCATGAGCATGATGTTGCAAAATATTTACTTACAAAAATAACTTAAAATCATCACTATTAAAGTAACTTTAAAGCTTTTCTGACTATAAAAGATTTTACATTGTTTTTTGAAGATGAAGATTTTTATTATTATGAGCATTTTTGTGGATTTAATGAGAGTGTTGGTCCATAAATTTTCAATGTTTTCTTGCTGTTTATGTGAAAAATAATTTTTCCATTTAGTATGTTGCTTTTATAAAGTGGAAAATTTTGAAATACTGCTTATTGTGAAAATTTTTGGTATATCCTTCATAGTTATTGGAACTGGTTTAAAGCGCATTTTTTTGAATTCTCAATAATTGATTAATTTTCTTGGAATTAAACATTATTTGGTGTGGAAAAGACATTAAAAAATGGATTTAAAGGTGTTTTGAGATTCAAGCCCACACCAATCAGTTCATAGACAATCGAGAGGCTTAACAAATCCGAATTACTATTTAAATAACTTTACTTCACAAGATGTTTTCATTCATTAACAAACTCATTCAAAATCAGCTACTCATTCACATTAATTCATCATCAAGTTCCATTAATAACTCTTTCCTTCCCACATTCAAGTCATATTTCTCGAAATTTCCAAAAAAATTATGCGTAATTCATGCAGAAAATCAGCCCTCCAAGTCAGAAAATTATTTAATGCCACCAACATAGTCAAAATAAGCTAAAAATATGAATTTCTCACTCTCCAATACCGAAATATTAATGATGTTGAGATTATGGATGGGAAATAATGTCGAACTCTTTTCGGAAAATATAAAGATATTTCATATGGTATGGTTAATGTGGATTTTGTTGGGATCTTTATTTATTATGTTATTTTAATATAAATAGCTCGAAAGTAAACTTTACAAATTTTATGTAATAATTTATGATTCAATGAATCCATATTTACAGCAATTTTGAATATTGTGTTTCTATTATGGCAACAAGAAAGAAGCTGGAAATAATTCTTAGTAGTTTATTTACAGAATTTTTGTTCTTCTTGCTTACAATCCTACGTGCTTTCATAAAGATAGATGAATAAGATGAGATTGTAGTTTTATGAGTTTTGAAGATGAAAATGAAAATTTATGGGATTTAAAATGTTTTCTTTTTGGTGTTCATTAAATTTTAATATCTTTCTTAAAATTACATTTTAAAATATTAAACTTTAACAATTTTTTGAAAAAAAAAGCTTTGAATTTGTCACAAAGATTTGAATCTGTCAAAAAGGCTTAGAGCTTGTCAAAAAGCTCTAGCCTGCCAAAAAGCTCTAGCTTGTCAAAAAAACTAACTTGTCAAAAAAAACTCTAGCTTGTCAAAAAGCTTTGGAACTGTCAAAAAGCTTTGGATTTGTCAAAAAGCTTTGAATTTTTTAAAAGGCATTGAACTTACCAAAAAACTTTGAGTTTCACAAAAAGCTCTAAGCTTGCCAAGAAGTTTTGAATGTTTCAAAAAGCTTTGAGTTTGTCAAAAAGCTTTGAGTTGCAAAAAGCTATGAATTTGTCAAAAAGCTTTGAAACTGTCAAAAAGCTTTAGTTTGTCAAAAAGCTACAAAAATGGATTTGTTAAGAAAGCTTCAGTCTTATCAAAAAGCTATAATTCTTTTTAAAAAACTTTAATTTCTTCTGTAAAAACTACAAAAATCAGTCAAAATAAAGAAATTCTAGTTTTTTCAAAACGTATTCAACTAAAACAAAAAAAAAACCCACATATGTGCTTATTTACTTCATTCCACTTACATTCAAAAGCTTAACCAGAAAACCATGAACACAAAATATCCCACTAAACCAATGAAAAAACTTTTAATAGTAATACAAGGAACGAAGAAGAAAAAGCTCAGCTCAATATCATGATTGGATTCGTAAGAAGCAAAGAAACTTTTCCTGTTATTTATCACCAACAAGATATTTTGGCTTCTTGTACTTTTTTTACGTGAAGTAAATTCTAACAAAATGTGTAGCTGCTTACTTCTCATAGAGAAAGTTCCAAAAAGCTTTGAAATCAGGTGAAACTGTAACATTTGAGATTTTAGTTCATAATTTCCCATCATATGAGTATTCCATCCACATCTGTAGTCTATGCGCTTCTTATATTTATCACAGCCTCATTTCCTTTCCCAAAAATCCCCCTTCTTTACTTCCAAACTTGTGAACTTTATATAAAGTCACTTTTTAAGATATTGAAAAGTTATTTTAAATCGCTTACGGGCAAAATTTTTAAGTGCATGATCATATGTGAAATGTTACAATATGCTGGATGGGTATAAACATGAGCATAATGAAGTGTAAGGAAGGAAGCACATAGGGAAGCACACATTAAAGATAGCTGAAAAGATTCTTTAAGAAGTTTTCTTATTTTGGTTGTTGACGGTGCTGACGAAAGTAAAAATGAGAGCAAATTCCATTCTTTAATGAATTTTTTAACTAGGCTTAGAGACTATTTTCAGGTAGATGAGTTGGAACTGAATTTAATAGCTTCAATTTTAATATGTTCGAGCTATAGAACGGATTGGAATGAAGTTTGACAATGAATCATGAATTAGGGTCGTATCCACACATAATGTTAGCAAAACGCAGTATCAACCATCCATAAGATTGAAGCTGGCTAGAAAAATCATTTTTTAACCCTTCAAGGTGCTCAATAATCTCCAAAATCTTCTCAAGTCATCAAAATCTCCAAGATCAACTCTTTAAAAGAAATTCCATTTTTATACACAGTAGCATGACAACAAAAAAAGGGCCATAAAATTGTATTTTTCTACCCCTTAGCTCATGAGACGTAAATTTTATGCAGATATGCTAAGGAATTTGTGACATTTTTTTTTTCATCACATGTAAGTACATTATTGTCATATAAAAAAGATTAGAAAATTTGTTTAAAAGATACGCATGATCGTGAAAACATCATCGATGTGTCTTGCATACGATGTGGCCTCCATCCTCATCCCAACCACAATTGTTTGTGCTGCTTTAAATAAACAACAACAAAAGCCAAAGCTCCCGTATGTAAATAAAGATTGCAAAAAAATTGAATTGTGATTTTCAGATGGGATTTTTCAGAATCTCTGTATATTTATATATCTTTTTTTCAATATTCAGGTAGCTTTTCATTCGATGCCATTTTCATCGTCTTTCTTTTATACCTTTTGAAAAAATAAATTCAATGGGTGTACCTGCCATTATTTCCATACACTCAAGCACATATAGTGTAAAATATTGAAAAAAAAAAATATTATTTATGATGGATATACTTTTATTATTTGTTGAGCTTTATGTTCATGCTGCCTTATAGTAAACCATTGCCTTTTGAATGGAAATTCTGAGAAGGAAAATTGTTCAAAGCTTGAGCTTGTTAGAGAATGCTATAATGACTTTAATAGGGATTGTATGCTGAATGTTGTAGTTGAATCCAATTGGTTTTAAATTGGAATTTCATAGCATGAATCTAAAGCTACATTGATTGTTTTTATGCTTGTAATTTGTATTGCAATAATAGTTTGAAAGATGAAGGAGTTGAGCTTTAATTGTCTGTTTCTAGGAATGGTTTTTTAATGTGAAAATCAAGTAAAACTTCAATATTTTAAAGGTTGGTCCAAGGTCAGTGTCTAAATGCTAATAAAAACCTTGCGTCAGGGCTAGTCGGAATAGTAAAAATATGTTTTTGAGACTTGCAAAGTCTATTCCTGCCTAGGACACCCTGCCCAACACTAGAATTTAGCCTCTCATCCCACAATCGTGATCCTTAACTGTTTTATGTCAATCGAAGTTTAGGCTACGTAAATTGTTCAATTTTTATTGCTCTAATGCTACAAAATGCCAACACAGCTCCGTCATGTCCTTTTTTTCTCGATATTTCTATTTTTGAGAGTTTATCTTAAGATCTTTCAAATCCTAAATTCCAAGAATAATTTCGCAAACATCTGTTCAGCTTGGATGCAAAAATTCCATCAAAAAGCAATTTACAAGTATTTTTAGCAACATTTTCATATTCCTTACAGCAAATGAATAAAACATCATGATAGAATTTTATTATTAAAGGCACATGCGACGAGGATTTTCCCTTCAAGTAAGCAAATTTAATTTTTCGTGTCTGCAAATTTAGAATTCCTCACTTTTATCGCAATATACCCGAGAATCTACATATAAACATTTAATTCTCATCGACACCCACATATATCGTTGATTTTTATCTCTCGATGATTTTGATGGAAATACGCAAATATTTTTAAGGTATCACTTTATTGAAACAAAATACGATGGATGAGGCCATTGCCATCAGGTGTATAACAAGCAGGAAGAAATTCAATTATATTCATGAACTTCAATTTAGAAGAGCAAAAAAAAATATTTTATTAAAAAATTTTGTTCATTTGAATTTACACAGTGCGTTTATAATCCTTACACAGGCAATTGTGTGGGGATTTATTAAAAATTCATCAAATCTGTGACACAAAACAATCTGAAGTAAAATATTGAATTTTTTAGAATATTTTGATGATTTTTAGGTTATCCTCTCGTGACGATTATGTTGGTGATTTTTTAAAAGAGGAAGAGTGGAATTTTTAAGGCAGCTGATGCCTGCGATTGCTATTTATAGAATGGTATGTGTAGGATATAACCCAGTGCTTCTCAAACTATACTCCGCGTAACACTCCTGTTCCGTTATAACATCCTAGAAGTATAAACGAGCAACTCTATGTGGTTTTAGTTGTTTTAGCCAAAGTCGACAATTGGATGATTTGACCTGTTAATGTCTAGTTTTATAGTTGCCATTTGATCCAAATCATCCAGTCGCCCCTTAGAGCTGAATTTAGTGGCAAAAATCCACATTTAAAGGTTCAAATCTCAAAAACCGAAACAACTATCACTCTTTCATCAAGCAACAAAAGTTCACAACTTTGTAGTTTAATTACTCAATCAATCAGCAACCCAGTCAACCAAACAGTGCCTCATAAATATAGACACCAAGTCTAGTCGATAATAAAATCCAGTCAGCAATTCACTGGTGCATAAATGCGTTTAAAATGTAATAACACCAATCAGATATGACAACGGAACCATTATAATTTGATTATTGTTATTGGAAATTGAATTGTGTGTCGTGTGGATGTGAAAATAAATAAAAGCATAGCCAAATCGACAAAAATATAAATAAATGCATAAATAAATACCTTTATAATGGGTCATTCCAACATTTGGATTGCTTAATTCCCCTTCATTAATACTATGATACATGTTCATGTTTGATGTACCCGTAGCCAATATTTTCGGTCTCACTTCTTCTATCAGTCGCTCATCGCTTTGATGATAAATGTCGTGAATTTGTGCTGTACATAGGAGCTAAAATTAAATATTATTTAAAAAAAAAGAGAAGCCACAATTCAAGTGAGAAAATGGAAAGTTATTTAATTAAAAATTCCTTATTATCAACATTCATGGTGGCATAAGTTCACGCCATTTGGTCGAGAAATGTGACTAGATGAAGAACGTACAAGAGTGAGGAGGATGAAAGGCATTTTAATTCATTTACGCTTTGCTCTCTCGTGCAGGCATAATGAAAATGGAAGCTGAAACATTTATTTTTCGTCTAGTTTTGAAATTAAAAAAAAAATAATTTGAAAATCTAGAATGAGGAATTGGAATCGAGAAAACATTTTTTGTGCCATTTTTAAATAAATTAAATCTCATGTCAACGCGTCAGTTCCCGCAGACTTTACCGTTTTTTTTCTCTGCTTCTCGATGTCAACATTTTTTCTAAATTTTCCCTCAGTTTAATGAGGTGTTACTGTGCTAGATGTGATACATTCACAGGTTGAATATACATAGTCCATAACGCTTATGATACGTACCAAAAAAAAATAGCAATTTTTCCCAACTCACTCTTGTCGTTCTCGTCATCGCCCTGTCATCATCGTCATCCAAATTTAATTGAATTGGAGTTTTTTTGGTTGTTGTTGTTGGATATTTTAGGAAAAAGGAAGAGGGATTGGATGGAAGTTTGCATTAAATTGATGAGATTTTTGGAGATGCTGAGGTGAATTTTTATTAGATTATTGAGTTCTGGTTTGAATTCTACTCCACATAGGTTATTCCAAGAGACTTTTATTTGCTCGATTAAGGACTTTGAAGAATCGATCAGTAGAATAGCTGCTGAACACAAAGGAACACTCGCTTGTAAAGTTACAAAATGTTCAAAAATCTAATTAATGTTTAAATCTATTTTGGAGCGAGAAAAAGAGTTGGGGTGGACGGAGTCTACAACATAAAAGGACGTGAACCCTTGCTTAGTCATCAATTAATGCAAACTCCACCCAAGTCAATCAACTATCAACCAGGGCAAGGTAACAGAAGGACAATGAATAAAGGAAAGATAAACATTTTATGAGAAAATAATCTATGGCACTTTACCTTCAATTTCCCTCGCACAAAATGTTGCTGAGTAATTGGAAAATGTATACCTAAAATTGTTGATTCTAAATTGCTGTCATTCTTCGATAATTTATAAAATATCATTTGTGATGGTGACGCCTGGAGAATATAGAATAGATATCAATTTTATTTTTTATTTTTATTTTTATCATGCTTTGTGCTCTTTTTCTCTTTTTTTACTCATTCATTTTCAGAGCATGAAACAAAAAAATAAGAAAAGAACATTAACATTTCATTTCTAAAATTAATGAAAGTTTGATTGAATTTTGATATTTTTGCTGTTGTGCTTTTCTCATTTCAATTTAGTTTCAATACTTGAAACTTAATTTAATTTTGTTTTTGAGACATTTTATTGACATTTCAAGTTTTTCTTTGAATTTCAATATTTTTGAAAAAATAAAGTGAATAGTGAGAAATAAATATCAATCAATCAGCCGGATGGGTGATTGAAACAGAATTTGCTATTTTCTTTGTTTGAGGATTCAAATTTAATTAAATTAAAAAGGATAGATCATTGACTTTGGTACAATTATAAGTTCATGCTAACTTCCAATTATGGGCCATTCACTTATTACGTAACGCTTTTAGGGGGAGGGGGGGGGTCTAAGATTTTGTTACGGTTCAAACAAGGAAATTTTTTTTTTCATACAAATTTTGTTACGAAGGGGGGGGGGTCTAAGAAGTCATTTTTTCGCGTTACGTAATAAGTGAACAGCCCCTTAGGTATGATTGTGTTTTTATTGTGAATTGGAATTGTTGTCATATCAACAACTGAGAATGGCACAACGTTGAATAATGTAACATCTGGCTTGAGTGATACTAGAATACTAGCAGGATTCCAAGCTAGAACTACATCAAACCTAGGTTAGATTATTCACTTCTGTGTTATTGTTCTCGCATTTTATGTAACGATTGGAAGATTGGCTTCTAGTGGGAATCGAACTCGCTTTGTAAATCAAACTTTCAAAGATTGTTCAATTTACAGATTGCTAGTCACTGCTGAACTATTTTAAATCTTGCAGATTCGCCAACATATGACTCAATATTCTAGATTCAACTCTGTCAATATTCTACAAACTAAATTCTATTTAACTTGTTTGAAGAAAAATGCATGCTTAACATGAGATTCTTTCCTGACTATCATCCATTAGAATTTGTAATATCAAAATAAATTCTACAGATTCATCTACATTCAAAATGGAAGATAGTTTAGAATATTTTCATCCATAAATTCCTCTGTAAATTATGAAAGTTCATGCTTTAGTTTTTTTTCAGATAACTAAAAGCAAACATATAGAAAATTCCTGACGTGATTGACAGAATGATGAATATTCCACTCAGATTTACTTGGAAATTTTTCTTAAGCTTAAAAGTTTGAGTCCGAGCGACACAGTTTAGTAAAGCTGAGGTTTTGGATCTGTTAAATCAGTGAGGTTGTTCAGCTGTAAATATGAAGCAAGCCGGTGATTCTTGAGCAAAACTAGTGTCCTGAATTGTTGCTAGTTGTGAAGCTCGCTAGAGTTGTTTAAAAGTCGAGAAAATCAAGTTAAGAGAAAAGATGGATTTTTTTAAACAAAAATTACTTTATCAAAAAGTTCCAGCTTTACGACTGCTTCTCGGGAATCACCTCAAAATATAATTCAAGAAAAATTCTCATAAACTATTCAAAGATGAAAACATCTTATTCCTTAAAAATAAAAAAAAACTTTTTAAAACATTTCTTAAATCATTCATTCATTTCCATTCATTTATGGTGATTGATTAAATTATGAGAAAAGTTTTTGATTTTTTTCAAGCTCTTATTGCGAAATTTCTCATAAATCAAAATGAAATTCAACGCTCAGAATTCTCTTTAATTAAATTCATCTTCAAGTTTTTCTTCTTTTTGTTCCATTTCTTGTGTGTTCTTGCTTTTTCTTTTTTTTCGGGAAAAGAAATGAAAACCTTGAGAATTATTTTAACTAGAGAATAAAAAAAAACTCATAAATTTTATGAGCAGAAAAGAATTTTTTTCAACAAAATATTATATACAAAAAGCAGGAAAATATAAATTTCTTTGCAATTTAATTTCATTTCAGTTTTGAACAATGCGCGGAAGGAAAGTCTAAGAGAAGTTCTTGTAGGATAAGGTGTAATATAAAGTACATTTGAGACATTTGCATGTAAAAAAATTTTTTTTTTCGTTCCTCATTCAGCATGAAACTTTTGCTATGAAACTTTCTTTTTTGATGATTTTAAAGTGTAAGTTTTGATGTTGAAAAAAAATGAGTTCATATATTGTAGATTGTCAGACTGAATGGTTGTGATATGTATGAGAAATTGTTGGATAAGATTTATCGACTTTTAGAATTAAGATTTGAGAACTTTTTAACTTTATTAAACCTGTTGTAAAAAAAATTACTTTTTCTTTAAGTTGTAACTGTTTAAATTAGAACTTTCATTCATTTTCTAAATTGTATTCCAAAAACTTACTTTATTAGAAACCAAAAACCAAAATAATCGATATTTATTAACACTTTTTCTGTTTACAAACATTATAGAAAATTGAAAAATGATGAAATTTGAATTTTAAATATTTGTAGAATGATTTGTTTAGCAATTTTACTGTTAAAAGCTTTGCTCACAGACACTTAACATTTTACAATCCATCTGATTACGTAAAAATATCGAAACAAGATAATATTGGAGGTCAAAATGCTGAAGTGGATAAGCTAATAATGTTAACTGCCGTTTAGTGATATTTTCTGAAGCTTCTAAAGTTTAGGTTAAAAATTCTAAAATATTAATGTTCAATTCAAAATCTTATTCGAAGTATTTCGTTTATGTCATTCAAACCAAAGCTCCAAATCCCATCCAAAACAATTGAAAAATATCAAGAAAATCCCCAAATATCCTCACACAATTCCTTCCATCAACAAAATGCGCAAATATTTCCCAAAAACACATTTCCTGCAAGTCACCTAGACTTATCTCCAACAACTTTTTTTTTCTTCTTAAAATAAATAAATTTTCTCATATCATCACAAATATCATTCAACGTTGTATCCACTTACTTTTCAAAATCATTCTTTACGTCATTTCTCATCACATTCCTTCACTTTCTCACAGGCAAGTAAGAAAAACAGAACACTAGAGCAAGTCAACTACATCAGACGAGATGAGACAAAAATTACATTTTATTTTTGAAAGATGTAGCATTGAATATTTAATTAAAAAACTTTTCCCATCTCCTTCAACGCCTTCAATTTTTCGGATTGTCTCTTTTAAAACATTGATCGACTTTAAAGAGCGAGGATGAGCTTCGAGGGATTTGACTCTTTTTTTCTGAGGTTTGTTCAAAATTTGAAAAAGGATTTTTTTTTATTAATTACGGTGCGTCTAACTTCACTTCAAAGGTGAACAGCTTTAAAAATAAAATTATTAAGGCAAGCCAAGAAAAAAGCACAAAAAAGTTTGTAATATAATTAAGATCTCGTGAATTTTTAAGAAAAAGTTTGTTTATTTACAACCTAAACTTTCTCTTAAAGCTTTGGCACCTTGACATTAACCTGACTGGCATAATCAAAATTTAAAGCATGAAGGAACAGGCGATGAATCAATTTTATTAAACATAATCGCTCATCCATGAATTTTGTATGAAATAGGCAGTGTTGCTGCAACTATTCAGATTATTAGTATTGGAGAAAAGTGGATCTAGATTGTGACTAAACTATATTGTTAGATTAAGCTAGTCGATGGCAAAGTGATTTAATTCTTTAGTAATTTAATGCCAATCTATCGATCCTGAGTTCGAAACTTGAAAATGTTGAATTATTCATTTTTAGTCAAAAGTCATGTAAACGCGGTTCAGAATCACGTGTTGCGAGAATCTATCTCTATATGTCAGCCAAGAGATCTACCAGTCAATTCATCAATCATAAAATTATCAACCAAAACCTAGCTTTAACCCTAGTGGTGTTAAAATATCATTGTATTTGACAATAAGGATGTCTAGGAATCTGGTTAAGTACCTAATAAGATACAGTGTCTCAGTGATGCACTTGTATCAGAGAAATCAGCCTAAACATCAACACTGTCTAACAACCATTAATTTCCATAGAAAAATTTCCATAAAATTTACCTTAAGGTTCATAAAAAAATTTTTCACCTTTTTTTCTTCGCTGTTAAAAAAAATTGGCAAGGAGAAGAATTTTTATGAATCAATTACCCTGACCCACTCAATATTTATTCTCATAATCCACGTGGAAATATTTCTGCTCCAAAAATGTAAGAATAATTTTTTTGTGCCAAAATAACAAGATGAAAGAAAAATTTTTCCGTTTTAATTTAATGTTTCATCATAATAAAAATAATTTTAACTAAAGACATAAAAAAATTTCTTCTTCATCCTCGCATGCTATAAACTTCATCGAATTTTCCTCGCTCGATTGTGTTCAGTTTTGTTTTTTCCATTAGAATCAACTTCAAAATCGATTGAAATTATTCTTCATCTTATTGCTTCGTATTCATCTATTCGTATTTAGCTAGAATAATTCTTTTGAATGATATGTGATATTGAGAACAGTTTGTTTTGAGGAATAGAACATGAGAAAATATTACTGTTGTTTTCTTCTATTGATAAAACAATAGAATATTGGAGTTGTTGGCAAATGATGTTGCAATATTTAGTCTGAAGCTATAGGGCAATCGTATAATAGGTGAATTTGGCCTTTATGCCCAATATATGATAATATTTGCTCAACGTGACCTTTCGATTGAGGTTAAACTAATCAAAAATGATCAAAAGTAAGTTCGAAATTTTTTGGTTTAGGTCAAGACTGGCTTATTTAGAATTCAAACTACTCTATTGACTTAATTACAACCTGTGGCTAGTACAAAAAAAAAATGGAAAACTGCTCTTATTAAAATTTACGATGGTTTTACTGAGTTGTCAAACTACTAAGTTGTCAAACTACTAAGTTGCAAAACTACTAAGTTTCAAAACTACTGAGTTGCCAAACTACTAAGTTGCCAAACTACTAAGTTCCAGTATTTTGATACTTATTGTGATCCATGAGTAGATTATAAACCATTAAATCAGATAAAAGCAGATGTTTTCAAAACCTTGCCACAAGACCCGCTACAAATGCGCTCCATCCTTCTTCACACCCCCAAACCCTCACAAAAAATTCACCAATCTTCCAAAAAAGAAGAAGAAGAAGAAAGAAAATAAGTACATATAAAAATAAGTTGAAAAAAAAATGATAATAAAGAATTGAATTGAGAAGAAGGAGGAGAAAAAATATCAAATTGAATCGGATTGAGATAACAATTGTGAGAAGCTTTCACTCAACTCAACTCATTCAATACAATTCATATATCCATATCCATTATTTTGATAAAAATGTGAAGACTTATTTGTGCAAATTGCACATCATCGATGTTTGTGTAGATTTTGTTTGAAATCGAATGAAATAAAAGTGAATGGATGTGTTAGGAGGGGTGAACAGAGAGTGAGTTATTGAGAAGGTTTGGGACTTATAGCGAAATATAAATGTTGAGTAAGTGAGTTTTTGTGTTGATTCATGGGATTTTAGAGCGAATTTTTGTATGGATTCAGATTTTTGTAAGTCGGCAAAAAAAAAATTGAAATGAAAAATTTTCAAAAAAAATTGTAGGGAAAGCCATAAAATCAGAAATTAAAATTTTTTATCAGTTGCTTTCAACCAGAGTTGTTAATAAGATCCTTGTAGCGTCTGAGCAGATTAAAATCTTTGGTTTTGAGTCATATGAAGACTATTTTGCAAGTACTAGAGTAAGGATTCTGTGACCTAATAGTTAAACAATAGTTTCAAATCATTAAACGTTTTCTGCGGAGACATGGGTTCGATTCTCATTAGAGTATGTTCTAAATCTATCTATCTCATATCCGATAAAGGATTTGAATAAAAGTAAGTAAACGTGTCATGGTAATTATTGGAGTACGCACATATCTAGACAAGACAATACCTCGGCAAAAAAAATATCAATACCAAGACATTTTGTATGGCCCAGTTAACACATAGCCTCTTTAATAACAAATAATCTCTTCATATATTCCTCAAGTGATATATTCAAGAGATAAACCAAGTTTAGGATTTTGGATAAGGCTTAGAAGCACCTTAACATAAAGCGAGCAGCTTACACAAGAGCCAGATCCTTGTATTCAGATAACACCACTGTTTTTAACCTTCAAAAAGTGAACTTTATTTTTACTAACCGACAAAAAGCTTTTCACCACAGTAAAGCGAGTAAATCAAGTAAATTGAATGTGGGAGGTGATGGAGAAAGACATAAAAAAGGGGAGAAAAATCTATTTTAAGAGCTTCACTTAAATGTATATCATTCACTTAAATTGCAACGTAAATAAAATCATCATCAATTTATGGTTTATGGTATTGAGAAAAAAAAAATAAAAAATAAAGCGATGCTTAAGTAAACATGAAAACTGCATTAGAATGATGATGTATTGAAGGTAGTGGATCTCTATTCAATCCAGATATGAAAAGCTCTTGTTAGAATCCAAGTTAATTCAAACAGTTTCAATGATGAGAACCCGACTTTTTTGCATCGATATGAAAATGGAAGCAGCACATACATAGAGCTAGTGCCATACATAATCGAGAAGATAAAAAAGTACATAAAACTCCTTCAAATATTCATGTTCGATAGTTTTGATTATTGAATGCGGATGAATAAGGTAGAAGCAGTGCCCGAGAAAAAAAAATTTCTCATTGGTCATACCCTCTAAAATGAACATCGATTATGAAAAGATTGAATGGAGCGTTGAAGCTTATGAAACATTAATTTGCATTAGATCGAGTGGAAAAACATTATTGCTGGAGATGATGGATAGACTTAGGGAATGTTAAGCAATAAGGAACTTGATTTTAGAGTTCATTTTCTTTAGCTGTTTTTAAATAATTTTTGTGGGTTTTACAATCATATTTTATCAATTTGAATTTAACGGTTTTAGAATATTTAAATTTTTGCATCTTTTTTTGCCTCAAATGAAGCAAAAAAAATTTATTTTCATCTTTAAACTTTGAAAATTTTTGAGGTTTTTATTCATTTTGAGTGCTTTAATAAGCTAAATTAACTCTGGAGCTATAGGGGCCATTCACTTATTACGTAACGCTTTTAGGGGGGGGAGGGAATCTAAGATTTTGTTACGGTTCAAACAAAAGAATTTTTTTTTCATACAAATTTTGTTACGAGGGGGTAGGGGGGTCTAAAAAGTCGTTTTTTCGCGTTACTTAATAAGTGAATGGCCCCATAGCTTGTACCTTTAAAGCATCTCAGAAAATTTTTCAGTTTTAAATTTTAAACACTACAAATTAAATTGAAATTTACTTAATTATCTCAATAAACTCAAACAGGCATTCAATATAAGCTTGAAATTCCAAAAGAAAATATCGAAAAGCAGCAAGTCTAGACGACATCCTCAATTTTCTCTTCGTTCACCTTAATTTAAATTCTGTTTAATCATCCGCCTACCAGAAAAAAATTTACATCCCTTAATTCAGTTGTTTGCCATACTCACCGGAAGATCGTTCACCGTCCACGTAAGATTAGCAGCTGGTTTCGAAAATTGACTGCTACAATTTCCTTTTAGCTCATCTCCGGGTCTATATCTTGTTGAGATACCGTCAATAAATGGCTTCGCTTCAGGAATGTCTGTAAAAAGATGTGGGAGGTTATTATTTATATCCAACAACAAATACAACAGCCAGTGTAATTTGAGATGGAAAAAGCTATAAAAAGTTGAAACAGATTGGTCGCTCTCATTTACCCGCATTTTATAAGTGTGGTCATTAAATATAATAAATTAATTTATCATTCACTTCTCAATTCATCAAAATAGAACATAAAATTGTCTATCGTCATGGAACAGAGTGTGGAATCATTAAATTGGAACATATTTTATGCTATAAATACAAAAAACAGCAGATCAACATGAACAATGAGTGAGAAAAATAAAATTGGAATCCTTAAATCTGTTCGTATATTGGAATTCTTTTTTCGATTGGATTAAAGTGACATTTTGTATTGTGTACAGAAAACAAGTTTGAGGATGACTTTTGGATTATGAATGTAGCGTTCTTGTTAGACTTGAAATAGCAGTTTAATTAACATAGTTTTGGGAGAACCTGAAGTATTGCAAACCTTAAATTAAAGGAAATCAAGGATTAAGCACCGATTTAAAGCAAATCTTTTAGAATCTTCCTAGTTTTAAAGTCTAGAACTGCTAAGAAACTTGATCATAGCCAAAAAGCTTCTTTTAACCTAAAAGTCACCCAAGGCTAAGAATAAGCTAAAGTAACAACTTTAAATCGTCATAGATCACGTTTAAATTGAATTACTCAATTTTTTCCTTCTTAATGCTACATTTCGTCACAAAAAGTCATTCAACTTAGTACAATTCTATCCCCAAAAGAATTCTTAATAATTCTACAGATAGCAAAGTATTCGCAAACATATCAGCAATCAATTTCATGTGAAATGAGACAAGTCTATCAGTTGATAATCCTAACAACGATTGACATAAGATTAACAAGTATTATTGACAAAAAGATAAACTAATTTCTATAATGCAAGACAGATGAGCAGAAGTACAAACGCATGACCAAATTTGTCTATCAAATCTCACCGGATAGTTAAAGTATCGGGTCAATATGACATCCGACAAATGTCTACATCCTCTAAACATTGATAAAAACGCTTATGAATAGAAAATTATATTTATTTTTATCATCCAGAAACAAGAAATAGAGGAAATGTCTCAAGACGTAGGAAGTGAAAAGCCGAGAAAAGATGAATGATTGAAAATCAATAAAATTAAATGCGGGAAAAAATAGCGTTAAGCAAATATGGAAGCTAAAATTGTTGACGAAAAATTGCTTTTTCCATTTCAATGACTTCAACTTACCAACAACTTGCATGTCGCCAGAAACGATCATGGTATTGAAATGTGGAGCATCGGCAGATACTATGTATTATAAATAAATAAATGTATGGAAAAAAAATTTCAAATAAATTTTTTGAGATGAAAAAAATTTTAGGAATGAGAAAAAAAATTTATGCGAGATGTTATTGGAATTTTTTTTTTGCTGCTTCTTATTCTTTTGCTGTCGAGCTTCGAGAAAGAGGAAGAAAATTTAATAAATTGTGGCACGCTGTATATTGATTTAGTTACAGTACTACAAATAAATAACATGTGGGATGAAATTTCTTTTGCTTGTTATTGAAGCAATTTTGTGTAAAAATCTGGGAAAGGATATTTTGTTGATAGGAATTTATGAGTTATGGGTTGAGAATGTTAAGGAAGATTTATTAAGTTTTTCTGGTTATTGAGAGCAGTGATGCTAGTTTTGAGACTGTGACTAAGTTACTAGCATAGATTTAAGTCCTGATTCTGCTTTTAGTTGATGTTTTGTCCCAGAAAAGTCCTGTTTGAGCCGAATCTTGTTGTTGAACATGAAAAAACGTAACTTTGAATAAAGGGATGCCAAATAGGACTCGAACCCACGTCCTATGATTTGTGATCACATGCTCCAACCACTGAGCTTTCGGGCCTGTGTGAAGTACGCTGGTCCAAGTTCGAATCTCGAGCTCTCGGAGGTTATCCGATTATGTAGCTAAATGCTATATATAAGTTACACACTTTTCTGCGCCTGATGATCTAAGACTTGTAATTGTCAAGTCATCACTATCGTATCTCAACAAATTCATTCAATTACAGGATCCGATGTAAAATTCCAACTTATTCACATTCCCAACTCATAAACTTCATAAACATCTCCATAAATATTGAAATGAAAATTGTGCCTGCATTTAAAAATAATCTACCAAATTCCTCTGCATACCTTCACATGAGAATTTTCCAGAGATGTTTGTATCTACTTGTGATATCACGACTTGTGATGCATTCGATAAACTAGTCTGTGAAAAAATAAAAAAAAGGGAGAGATATGAAAAAGTCATTATAACATGTACGCCATATGTATGAAGCAACGGCTAACTGAATCACGAAAAAAAGGAGGATGTATAAGGGAATGGCAGAAAAAAATATATATACATGATGTGCATGTGCTCTCGGGCATTCATTACACATCATTGCGTTTTACCTCGACATTTATACCAGCCACGGGAAATGTTTTTATGGATTGTGGTTCCTTCGGTGTGTAACGATAAAATTCACGTTTGCCTTTATACCATTTTATCGAATACAGTGAATCTCCTTCCATATCATAATTACAAATTAATAGAGCGTTATCACCTCGCTTTATGGCTGTTGGAATGGTGACACGAACATCACGCAATCCCACTGATATATCTGTTGTGGATTGAAAAGAAGGAAAGGAAAACGTTAACAATAAGAATTAAATGTGAGAAAATTGGGAGATGAGAACGTGACATTGAGTCATCATTCTCAATTATGAGTTATTGGTAAATAAATAATGTTGAAAATTGTCAAGTACCGCACTGAGATTATTACTATGTCTGAGTTGCTGATAGAGTGTATGGCATTGTACAAGGTATTGTTGTGTATAATTTTGTGGTGTTAAAGTTTCGTGCAATTTATTATGAATGCGATTTGTGGTTGATTTGAGTGGTTGATTATCAATGAGAGTTGCAGGTAGGATTTACTAGAATTCACAGAGATTCAGTTCCCGTCCTTTATACCCCGTAATCACATTCTTTACAAACATTTTGACATCCCGTAACCCCAAAGCTAGACAGCTTCGCGTTTTGATGCACTATTCTAAAACATCCCATTGAATCTTTATCTTGCAATAGGATTTACGTTTGAATACGTCTGTTTATTCGATACATGCCACTATAATCATCTAGATGATGATGAAGAAGATATAAAAACGCTTTCTCGTTGTCACAACATACAGCAGGAAAAAAAAAGAATGAAAATATTCACTGACAGTATTTTTTGTTGTGTTCTATCGTCATCGTGCATGAATAGCAAGTCGCTTACTTTCAACGGCACTCAATGGCACTTGAAGTTGTATGATGAAATTGTTAGTGACAGTATAAATGGCTTTGTTGTTTCATCAACAATTTTCATCATCATATACCGCGCGCGGTAGAACAATTTCCACTTTATTCTCCTCTTTTTGTGTGTGCTGTGTGTTCTTCGTCGTATCTGCGTGTGTAGACTTCACACCAGTTCTCGTCATTCGAAATTGTTGTTGAATACACACGAGAAAAGTGATATGACAAAGTTCATGCTTTTATGAGTTTTATGCTGCGTAATATTTAGAGTTTTTGAGGAAAAGTTTCTGCAACGTTGGATGAAGTTGTAAGCTTATGTTTAGTTTTGACTTTGAAATGTGACTCATATCATGAAGCAATAAGTTTAAACGTTACTATAGTCGATAGCTCGTAGAAAGAATGAGAAACCCTAAAATCATTATCTTAAGTCTATCAAAAAAATGCAATTGAGTAAGATTGAGCAATCCTCACTGTCCCTGGCTCTACACTATGGGGCAAAATGAAAAAAAAAGGGACTTTCACTTTGAAAAATGGACTTTTCCGATTTACACTTTTTGGGTGATTTTTTCTTGTAGAGGACATAAAAGTAGATAGAAATGCCAAATTTCAGGTCATTTGGTGCTGATTTCGCGATTCTAGAGCTGTTTGAAGTTGAAAACTAGTGAAAATTCTGGTTTTTTCATACCATGTTTGAACCGGGAAATATCTTAACTGGTTTAAGATATTGCAAAACGGTTTTCAGTTCCTATTAGTAGTATATAAGAGCTTTATTTTGACATATAACAAAGTTTAGGTTCTGAATGTTTTCGTGCCATTATGGTAGAACATATGTGAAAATTTCAGGAAAATTATCTTCAAACAAGCCGCAACTATCATAAATGAAGAGTTTCCAGGCAAGTAAAAACGCAGTTTTGTAGCCCCATATATCTAGTTTTCAAAACTGTATAAACTTTGAAAAAGTAAGCTAACGTAATTGAGTTATGTTGATTTTAGTAGGTCGTTGAGTATTTGGCCAAAAACTAATAATTCTTTTAAAAATACGAAAACATAGTTTTAAAAATAGTTTTTTGGTGTTTTCTTATGAAAAATAACAATTTAAATGATTTTGTGAAGAAAATTTTTCAAAAACTTCAAAATCTTTCGAGATATAGGGGGTATGTGCTCTCCATCGATTTGGCCATTTGTCACCCTACTTAAACCACTATAACTTTTTTTTGAAAAAATATTTTTTAATTCTGTTTTCGGATTATTGTAGCCTAATGTAATACCTATCCAACGATATATAATACTTGCTAGTTAACTTAGTCCTGGTTATTTATAGGGCTGTTGATTGTGACATACGCAGTTTTTGAAATATTCCCAAAAATTGCATTTTCAAAAATACCACTTTTAAGCAATCTCGAGTATTTTTTGGACTTTTTTAAGAAATGTTAAGTCTGAAAAAAGCTATTATCATTAGAGTAATAAAAAAAATACTCTGATACGCAACTATAATAGGTAAAATTAATAAAGTTTAATTTTTAGTTTAATGAAATTTTGTTTATTTGTCAAGAAATTTAATTTACATTTTTTTATCATATTTAATGAAATTTATTTATTCATTCGTTGTTTGCTTCTTCAGAATATTCATGGTCTTGTCCTTCGGAATAATCATAGTTTTCTGCTTGGGAAAAGTCATAACCTTCTCCTTCTGGCTCAATCAATTCAATTTCTTCCTCATCTTTTTCCTCATTTTCTGTTTGTTGCTCAGGTGTTTCACCTTCTTCTTGGACATTTTTTCTCATTAACCTTTTATTTATTACATCCATATATTTTTTTATTATTACTGGATCAGAACTGTAGAGTCTTCTATGTATAACATCCGTAAAACTGTGTATTCTTGAAGTTTTTCTGGCACGTAGTTCTCTATCTTGTCTGAGATATTTGTTTTGTGACTCCCCGGCTTCTTCACTCATTCTTCCTAGAGGTAATGGTAAGGCTTCCATGTAGTGTTTTGCATGAGCAAGTGCTCTGTGAAGTGTTACTGGTATTTTGAACCAACTATATGTTGTCAAAAACATTCTGTATGTTTCTTTACAGTACCTATCAAATTCATCTAGATCATCAACTGGTTCTAAACTTCGAATTTGGTTTAGCACATAGCATATACGTTTAATTATTTCTTCATTAAGATATAGAGTTTTAGCTAGAAGCTCTGGATTTTCAAGAACTTTTCTTGCAACGTTTCCTGTATCTGATGATCCAGCTCCCCCTTGTCTTGGTTCGAGTACACGAACATTAAATGCATCCCACATTGCTTGCTTTATTCTAGCCTTTTCAACATCTAAAACAATCTGTTCCTCTTCAGTTATCTCCAGCCAGTGTTTTTGAACATATTGTTTATATGACAAATCATATAGAGTCGTGAGTACGTTCATTGATGTATGAAGTGGCTGAGTGTTGAAATACAAGTGCTCTTTAACAAATTTTCTGTGTGTTTTTTCGAATCTTCCATTATCAAGATTATTTATGTCACTCATCTCGTTTGGTCCAGATCTACAAAGCTGACATCTGCAATATCCTGATGTTTCTGTAAGGTCTGTGTAAACTTTTCCATCTAACATTGTGGGGTAGAATTTGTACGTAATTTCCAAAAGCATGTCTTCACATATGAATCTCTGTGGTTCAAGTTTTGATATTTGATTTTTTATATCTTCATATATCCTTCTAACATTTACTCTGGTTTCTTTGGCATGTTCAAGTTGTATTGGTCGTACTGAGTATACAGATTGACTGTTTTCGTTGTCCCATAAGCAGATATAATTTCCGTTTTCGTCTTCATGTCGTAGTTGCTGAACACTCATACTAACTGTCAATAGTGATTTGTCTTCTATAATTTCATTATTAGTCGTTTGATTCGGTTGTGTTCTATCTCGTTCTTGATTTCTTGAATTTGTTTTTCCTTGGTTATACTGTGACTGTCCTGTTGTTCCGTCCATCCCCCATGTGACGATCATTTCTGCATGAATAACTTTTGGAGTTGATTCTGAAGGTAATATTTTGATTTTGTCGTATATTTCTGAATTGTGTGCTTCAATAACTCTTTTTGTGGTGAGTTGTGTCAAATTTTTTAGTGGAATAACGGCTCTTGTATCGGTGACCGTTATGTCATCAGGATAGCATTGTTTCTCTAACCTCAACAATTTTTTAGCTGTCGGTAAAACGTTTTCGCATTCCAGTTTCAGGACTTGTCGAATATTGTTGTACTGATTTCGAGATAAATTGTTAAAGGCTTTTACACCTAGAGCTACATGTATATCTAGTTGTTTAGGTTTTGATGTAGTTTTTTCTGGAAGATCCTCTCCTTTTTGGCACGCCTTAATAAATTCTTTTAACATTTTAGCTCCTTCTACTTTTCCTTCTTCTTTAGAAAGGCGAAGTGCCAAGTGAAGAACTGATAACAATGATCCTTTTGCTTCTTTTAAACTGATATCTAATTCGTCCACTCTTCTACGTCGATGCTTATCGCTTGTTAGTTGTTCAAATGATTTCCTCTTGATGCCCTTGCTGGATGAAGGCTCTATGTCATGGACGATGTATTCAATCTCATCCATATCTTCATCTGTGTCAGTAACATTTTCTGCTTCATATATAGATTCTTCCTCAAAAAGAATCCCTCCACTAGATTCGCTGAAGTATCGTGAGTCAACTTCAAATTCCTCTTCATAGAAATCTGCATGATCTCTTAATGCATTATTCCAATTTGACTGATTACAAAACATTTTTGACTTTGACTTCAGCTTGTTTAATTTATTAATTAAACTTGGTTTCTGTGATTCCGCTAATTCTCTCCCATGAATTTCTTCTATTACTGCCAAACAGTACGTGTGCTGTGTTGCAAGATTTAACGTTTTGTCGCGAAGAATTTCACAGAGTGTTTTCTTCGTAAGTGTTGAATTTTGGTTCATTTTTGAAAGTGACTTGTTCAATGAAGTTCAAAACTGATATGATGTGTAGAGAGAATTTCACGAGTATATATATAAAATAGTTTCAAAACTGAGATTTTCACACCTGATACCCGAACATACAATGAGCATGCTCAGAGCACATTATTTGTGAGCCTATTAGCCTTTGTGAGAATGTGCTCATTTTCATACATTTCAGTGATGCGCTTACGGTACCTTCTTGAGCATGCTCAGTGAGCACATTCCTATGTGACATGTAATAAGATCATTGAGTAAACTCATGAGCATACTCAAATGAGAAGGTAACATGTCACATGCAACATTTTTCTCATGTAACATTTTTATTGAATACACTCATGTACATTCTCAGAGAGCATATACTCAT